TGTCTAACCTACCGGAGAGTGACGTATGGGAGTTATTCTTATTAATCCATCTTGAAAAAACTGACTGACTATTCGCGTAACAAAAAAGATTCAGTTTACTATCACAGGGAATTCTAATGTATGATAACGCAGGGACACAGTAGCTAAAGGAGAATAAGAGGGCCTCATTCCCTGCAAATTCAGGTTGTGGGCCCCAAGTCAAAATACTTACTTTGCGTTAGTAAAGTTTTGGGCTCCCTGGAGTCCCAGCCTCCCTCCCCGCAATGCGGAGGGGGTGCGTTACGCCACTGCAGGGCCACATAAGATCTGTTGCATTCAAAACTTCTTAAATTCCGGAGAAATTCGACCTCATCCTTCCTCTATAATTCTGGTTTGGTCCCGAGGGTGGATTTACACAATTCTGAGAATAGAAAACATAATTCTGCACCCCTACTACTATAAAGTTAATTTATAATATTCAGATGATTTTACTTACAATTAAAATATAATAACAAAATCGATAATCGAATTTTAATAATTAAAGAAATTAAAAACTAGGCATTTGTAAATATTTCCTGACTTATTTTTACCTGACTGCTGTGTACTTGGACATAGTCTAGGTTAGTCTACTGGGAAACCCGACCCTGTTTATAGTCACTTCTGACTCTTATTATTATATATTTATTCCTCAAGCTTAAAAAACACACATCTCTTCTAAACAACATATTCCTCGGATGATAACGTAAAATAAACCGTCAAAAATTGGCTTCATTATATCAAGGCACATCTTTACTACCAAGGTTTTGTGATTCCTTGATCTACCAATAGGATAAATACTTCAATAAACAAGGCAATTAAGTTGAAAAACAAGGTGGATAAGCCCTTTCATGTATGCTAGAGTTTCTTTATTATATACTCAAATTCTAAAAACATAAAAGTAAAATAACACAGAGAGCCTTACTTTTTTATACCATTTCATATTTTTTCCTGCTCACTGGTTCCAAAAATAAACCTGCCTTTTATTAAGAATAAAAGTCCCCTTCTGTGTTTTAGGAGGTTTAGTAGTTGCAGCATATTTTTGGGATTTAAGGTAAAAATATTTATTATATTTGCTTTATGTGTTTAAACGTTATAGGATGCTTGTATTATACCGTAGACCAATTTCGCCAAATAAAAAAAAATCACCACAAATGGTGCTATCGTTATTATTATTGTGTTCGAGCTTCCGCAGAAACAATTTTCACTATTGGCTGCATATTGCAGCATTTGGCAACGTCTTTTGATATGACGATTGTGACATAAGTATCCGTTACAGGTATATTTACCGAGAACCAGAATATTGAAAAAAAAATAATAATACACGCAAAATATCAAAACTGTTTGTCGCATTTTTTCCCCTGATCATACGAAGAAAGAAATCAAAATTAAAATTTAGAGAATCTCGAG